CGTAAACCAAGCTTGTGTGTCTTGCAAAATTCCCATCCTGGACCACTGTGCAGTGGGTTCCATTTTCAGATTAGAACAACAAGTAGATCACCCGAGTTGAGTTCCTGCGAAAATGTGTATAGAAGTAAATCAAATTCCATGTGCAGAGCAGGGTGGCCTGCGAACCGGGAAAACCGGGAATACCGGGAAAACCCGGAAATTCAAAAAGAGAACCGTGAAAAATAAATTAACCATGCCATTGGAACAAATTTATACACCATGATTTCAGAATCAACTATTAAAACAGAGTGATCTTTTACCAAATGATTTACTCTATTTGCTGAATAATTTCCTTCAGTTTCCCGTCTTATTGTTTTTAGAATTTAATCACTCAGCAATATTTCAAATTGATTTTTGTCGTTTCAATTTCATATGTAAAGTGCATGGACCAGAGTTGCAACCTATCACATTCACGATCGTCAAACAGCTTATGGTAGTAACGCTTGGTACATTCCCATCAATGTGCTTGTCGAAGCACTCTCCATGATCATCCATCAAATTGACGAAAGAAATAAAAAGCAACTGGTGAATGTCGTCTTCGGTGGGGACCCATCACCGATATGGTCATTCCCGACAATCACGACACTCATCTGTGCTCGTTTTGAAGCAGTAGCTGCTTTGCTTACTTATGTGAGTGTGTTGGTGAGTGAGCCCAACACCTTCCGTTTCATTTCGCCAGCTCTGTTTGTCGCGCATGCCGAGACGAACTTGAAATGCGTAGACATTGTTTTCATTTTCTCCTGTCTTTTCGCTTTTTCTCATCATCGTACTGCAGAAGACTTCACTGTTTTCGATGTGCTTTACATCATCAGCAGCGAGTTGTGAGCAGCGACCATTACTGGTGGTTGTTGTTTGCCATGGCTCTACCTCTCACTGCGTGACAAAACGTTCAGTCAGCGATAGTCGGTTGCTGCGTTGACGAGTGTCGAGTGAGTGTCATGATATTTTGCATCACTGGCATGGACGTTAAAAGAAAATATTGAAGATGCTGGACTTTCGAAACAAATATTTGTAGAAGCCGAAAGTGAACTATTCTTTTCCGGGGTTTTAATTTTTCGTTATTCAAAATGCTCATGATATGAACTCCAGAATGAACTTGGAATTATGCCCTGAATTGTCATGGAATTCTTCTGACATTAACCAGAAAACACTCCGCGTAATAATTACCGTAGAATTCTTTTTGGAATTTCCTTGAAACTCCATCTAAGAATTCGAATCCTTCTTAGAATTGCCTTAAACCTTTTCGGAGACTTTGATTCCTTTGAAATTCTTTGCAAAATTTTCTATTCAAATCTTTTGAAACTTTATTTAGAAACGCCTTGGAGTATTGTAAAGAATTTCTTTCTAATTATCAGCAATATTTTGCAATCAATTCTGTTGGAGCTCTGTGATGAATTTTTCGTACTAGCGTTGGAAATATCCCCGAAACAGTCATAGAACTCTGTTTTTTGTTGAAATCAGATCATAGTTCTCTTGGAATTCTTCTTAAAATTCATCTGTCATTTTTCTCATGATCCCCATTCAAATCTCCTCAGAATCACGGAGAAATTTCCCTTAAAGTGTTTTTTCAAAATTCCTTTTGAAATTTTCTAAAATAACATAAGAATTTAATTTAGAACTTGCATTCTTCTGCACAGAAATTCATCGAAAAATTTCTAAGGACTTCATGTCAGACTAATGATTGAATTCTGCTCAGAATTTCTCCCTTCGAAAATTATGTGGGAATCCTCCTCAATATTTGTTTGAAATCTACACTTTGAATACTTTTAATTTTTACTAAAAATTCCAGGGTTTGTCCGCAAGGTTCTATAGATTATTCTGTAATTTGTTATAACCAATCAAATGCTTCCAAGTCTCAGAACCTTGAATTATTTTTTTCTCCAAATCTTGCATCACGAAAATTGTTATATACCCACAAATAACCTCCGAAAATCTACCCAGACAACCAGAATGCACGTATATTCAAAGTTGTTTTCGTGATATACAAACAAAAAATTCGTATAAAATGCAAATTAATGGCTTATACGTACAAAAGTGGAGGCCATATACGTGCATATTTTAATTTAATTTTAAACGAGTTGATTTAACATCATCAACGATTTTATCTGTAATAACAAAATCATTTTGAAAAGTCTTACGATGTAATCCGGTTAATTTTGTGATACAGTACGACAGAAAAATGAGTCATCGCATATAGGTCGGAAATTTGCATTCTATACGATTTAACTTGAACATAATGCGAGGTATGCCATTCTCTTATGCGATTTTGACTTAAACTGTAGCAATTTACGATACTGTGTGTACATTGTTATACGACTTCTGGTTGTCTGGGTAATGAAGTAATGAAATTGGGTTGTTAGCGGAATACTTAAATAAAACAGCAACAAAGGTTATCTTCTATTTAATTCCACTTAATTAATTTTGGTATCCATGACAGATACAAATTTCGACTACAATGTCCAGTCTTCATCAGTGTCATTCCCACAGGGGGTTAGATTTTTATAAATTCTTTAGTGGGAATGACACTGATGAAGACTGCACAGTTGAAATGCGTATCTGTCATGGGAAATTTTTAAGATTTAAACCGGGAAAAACCGGGACTTTCAAAACGAAAATTCACTGGCCACCCTGGACACAGGCTTCTATAAATCATCAGGCTTCAATCGAAAAAAAAAAAGTGGAAGGGTCTGTGTCTAGGGGCACGAACGGAAGCTTGACGTAGGACCGCTAGTGGATGGAATAAATAGTTCTTTTAATTGATCAATTATCTATTATCTCAACTCTTTCCGTTTTTGAATTGTAGGCGTACCAAATTTGTAGCATTTTTTTTTCGAAGAGAAAGTTGATTAAGAGAATCAATCAAAATCACTTTCACCCCTGCTTCCAAGTTTGGTTACAAGATTACAACTCTGTAGAGCATTTTGTGGGGGCTTGTGGTTCTGAATATGGACAAACAAGCACAGATCAATTCTATTCCAACTCTTTACTGATGTAAGCTTGATGGCCCTGAAAAGGGCCGTTTTATTGAAGAGGACATCCATGGCCACTTACGCTTGGCGTATTTAGTGTAGATGACAGCATCACGGACCTCATTTTCCAGGAACACCTTCAGCACACCTCGTAGATCAGACCGGAGATACGTTTGACACCACCACGGCGAGCCAGACGACGGATGGCGGTTATCACGAAGAACTTTGTGATGACGCTTGGCGCCTCCTTTACCAGACCTTTTCCTCCTTTGCCACGACCAGTCAATTGTTGCTTGTTAGGTGTGAAGGAGTGGACTAGCTATTGCTGTTCACCACGCCGTCCGAAGCGAAAATGAGCTAATGCCATACAGCAGCGCTCTTCTATATCTTTTCAGGTTAAAGCAGAATGATGTGCAACCAAGTGGTATAAAGCTACAAAGACTCCTCCCATTATGAGTAGTTTGCTATCAAGTAGCGACACTGGCTCTTTTCCTTTTGCGCACACGGCGGATGAGAACGACCCAAATTTGAGCTTAGTTCACTCATAATCGCCAAAACTCAGCGATGAGTAAATTTGTCTCATGGTTTTCTGTGGAAAACCTTTAAAATCTGCCTGAAAATGAGGAAATTGACGAAAATTTTATTCAGTCTCGGAGTAGTACCACTAGACTGAGTGAATCCAATCTTTACTTTTCTCAAATTCGGGAATTTTTCCCTGGAAAATCCCGGAAAAACCTGGGAAAACACGAGGCAAATTTACTCATCGTTGAGTTCCTGCACTTTATTTCTTATTTCTGAGATAACTAAACTCCTACACAGAAAAAAAAAGTTGTTGAATATTACATCCAAACTGCTGCAACCAGTTCAATCCATCGGTTGTGTAATATATTGCGCAATTCACACCAAACTGGATTAATAAGCGCATTTTCACTTACTAAAGAGTGTGATAAAAGTGCACGTTTCCGTCTAATCGTTTTGGTGTCTTGGATGCACTTATTCTTTGGCAAGTAAGCAATAAGTGCACCGAAGACACCAAAATGATTTGACGGAAACGTGCACTTTTATCACACTTTTTAGATTATTTAAGCTGTCCAGTTTCAGTTGCAATCAGCAATAACGTTGTACGATGTACAACGGCCTGAAAAGAGCCGTTTTGTGCCAAAGTTGATGAAAACGTACATGACATCCATGGCCGCTAACGCTTGGTGTGTTTAGTGTAGGTGACAGCATCACGGATCTCATTTTTCAGGAACACCTTCAGCACACCTCGTAAATCATACCGGAGATACGTCAGACACCGCCACGGCGAGCCAGACGACGGATGGTGGTTATCTCGAAGAATTTGCGTTTGGTTCTAAATATGGCGATGAGTGTGCAAAATATTACGCAATTCCATCCTCCCTATTCGCACGCGCCCGAGGATCGGAGGCGAATGCCACTTCGACTTGTTTCGTCTACTTACTACTCTCTGACGACTGTGCTGGGGAAGCAGCATATGCATGTAGGTAATTGGTGGATTTGTTAGTTAATTCGACGCTTTTGGACAATGCTGGACATTTACCGGTTTTTTAATAGTTTCTTGTTGAAAATCAACATTCGGAAGCATTGTTATCGATGCGTAGCCATATTTCTGATCGATTGGTGACAACATTATTGAAATTGGACCAGGGGCAGCTGAGTTATTAACGTTCAAAATCTTTCATAATTTGTTACATGTTCCATTTTCGGTTTTCACAAAGTGTACCCCCATATAGAAATCAAAGACGTAGTCCTACGTCAAAAATTCAACAGTCGACATTCAACTTTCCTCAACCGATTCAAGTGAAAGGAAATGTGGCCAATAAATGCCACGCCTCACTTCTGCTACTGCACCGCCAATCGACGGACATTCCTGTTTTGCGTTCACTCAATATATTTCGAGCGAAACGAGTTCACCCCCATGCTTCTGGTGCAAAATAAATCCCAAAATAAGATTGCCATAAATTCACTTACCAATCGACTGTGCCTGGGTGTCCTCGGGCAAGCTCTGACCGGAGGGAATATTTCTCCTATTTCGGTGCTTTCCTCCAAGTTACTTGACCATAAATTGCTGCTGCTGCACCACACTGCAACTGTCACCCCGGGCTCTCGCTCTCCCGGTGACGATTTTCTCCTCTTTACGCTTCCTACCTACTTCCGATTTTCAGCTGCTAGGTATTTCCCGAAACATGTAGCTCGTACGAACCACAATGTTGCTGATACTCCGGTAGCGGTTATTCTTCGGTTTCTATAGGATTCACACGAAGCGAACAGATTTTCCACTACTCACAACTTTTCGCTTGTAACGGGTTGTTATCTTCTTCTTATTCTTCTTCTTATATTGAACCGTGGGATGTTTGTAGCACAAGTTATGTTTCGAATTTTCTTTTCCAGTGACGGAAAAGTTTTTCGCAAAACAGAACAACACCGAGTTGGCAAGTGGGTAACCTATCGACTGTGGTTCAAAAATTTGCACAGGAGCTAGTAAAAACAGAAACTTTGATGATCATATGAGATAACAAACGAATTATCGACACGCAAATGTAGTTTACGATCACAAATTGAACACAATTAGGTTACATATCTCGTTGATCAATCTTCGATGATAATACTGAACAACGGCGGTTGGCTGGCGGAGCGGAGCGGTACAATTGGTCTATGCGTCAAATTTCACGCTGAACGCATTTTTTCGCCTTTCTTTGGTTTTCGATTTCGCTTGGTCAACCCGACCAATTGGTCAGTCAGACGAGATTGCCGTCAATAATAGAGCTGAAGGAAAGTTTTTATTTTCGCTCGGGCCACGGATTGCTGAAATTGGGTTTCCATACGACGCTAATCAATCCGAGTAGGACCATGGTTTTAATTTTGGAACACGTGCCTACCGGCGAAGCGTGAATTTGGACTGGGAATAGGTATTAATGTCACCATGGTTAAGGAGTTGTTTCGTAATAGAAGTATTTGACAAAGTCTGGGAAAAAATCATGCATTAGTGAAAGACATTGTCACTGAATGAATTGACTATAACATTCACTTTCTTAAAAATTTACTTAGATTTTTTTTTGATGATGTGGTTCAAATTATAATTCTTTATGCCAGCGGTTCTTAAATTTTCGCTTTAGATTTAAATTTAGATTTTAGATAACATTTAGAAATTCCGTAATGCAAGCCACAAATATTTGAGTCAAATATTTACCAATAGCTTAAATACGTAAGATGACATAAAGTCGTGATTGAAGTTAGAAAATAATATATTTTTTATTATTCGAAGTATGAGCGAAGATTTTTTTTTATTAATTGCAGCGCAGGAGTATGTAATAGTAATGAATCTGCACAATATTTAATGGATAGCTTTCGATTTCCCTAATATTTTTACAATGGATTAGTGCTATTTGAGTTCATTTCCCGGGCGCCAAATAAATTTCCAAATGCTTTATTAGCTTCTATCAGTGTTGGGAAAATATGAAAAAAATCAAATCTCACCAAAGACGTAGACAAAAATCAACATGCAAACAACTGCGGTTGATATTGCAAGCTGTGATATAGCAGCTCGAAATGTCAAGCTAGCAAAACTCACCAGCTGCAAATCTCACCAAACTATGATGAGATTGAGTTTCATGATTTTTGCTTTACACCCGAACGCAACCGAACCTTCGATAACGGTTGGATACAGTCGCTTCGTGTCTGCCATCGGTGAAGAGAGAAAGGAGAAATCATTATGATACCTTCTCTTTCTAAGAAAACAAGGTGAAATGGAATCATTTTTGCGTCGATTCAATTCACAGCTTCAACTGTTCACGCTGTGAATAGTCTCGCAATATCAAAGGAGCTAGTAAAATCAATACTAATCATAATATTTTGCTCCAATATCACGCGTGAGCGGAATAATATCAATTTGCTAATGAATATACCAGCACTGGCTTCTACCAGGTATTTTGAGGAGAAGCGGGAAAAATAGACCATTTATTGAGGTTCGGACAGTATGACAATGGGTGGCGTTTGATTATACTGATATATTCACAATGTAGTGGAATAGCAGAACAAAATAATATCAAATTTTACTATCAATATCTCATTATGTTATTGGTAATGTCCTAGCTTCGGCTGGACATATACTAAAATTGGAACGATACAGAGAAGATTAGCATGGCCCCTGCGCAAGGATGACACGCCAAATCGTGAAGCGTTCCACATTTTTACGTCAATGCTCACCATCAAGCATAGGGACGACACCCAACGAATAAAAGAGGAAGGATCATCATGGATATCGCCAAATCCAGGAATCTCATCCTGCTAAACGACGGGTCCAACACGTTCGCCCGTGGCCGAATGTCAACGGTTGACGTCACGTTCGCTAGTGCCAGTATCATACACCGATTACTGTGGATGGTGATTGATGACCCGAGGGGCAGCGACCACTACCCGATTAGTATACAGCTTGATGAATGCCCACCCGAAATATCCCGAAGACCCCGCTGGATTTATAAGCAGGCCGACTGGGAGGCCTACCAGATCGCTATTGAGGAAAACTGTCGGCTCAATTACCACCACACCATCAGCGACTTCACTAAGATGATGTTCGATACCGCTTCGAAAACCATCCCAAGAACAAGCGCGACTCCGGGGAAAAAGGCCCTCCATTGGTGGTCCCCAAGTGTCAAAGCGGCCATTAAAGCCAGGAAAAAGGCCCTTCGGGCAGCCAAAAGACTTCCTGCCAACCATCCGGACAAGGAAACAGCACTACAACACTACCGAACGAAGAGGAATGACTGCAGGGATATCATCCCTGAAGCTAAAAAGGGGAGCTGGGAGTCCTTCCTAGACGAGGTTAACCCCAACCAAACAACAGCTGACCTCTGGAGCAAAGTCAATGCGATAAGCGGTAAAAAGAGAGCCCGTGGTATCACCATCGAGCACGACGGAACGACCACACGAAATCCAGCTCAAATCCTCGACATCCTCGACAGCTACTCCGCGTCGCTGTCATCGATCGACAGTTACGACCCAGCATTCCACCCGAGGAATTGCCCGACTATCCACACGATAAGAAACATCCCGATCCCGAATGACAGCGACAACCTGGACATCAATCGACCCTCCGCATGGATGAACTCACCCTTGCTTTATCTAAAGCTAGAGGCGCATCTGCTGGACCTGATGAAGTGGGATATCCTCTCTTTCGATACCTTCCTATCGGGAAGCAGGCTAGGATGCTAGAGCTGGTGAACCAGGAATGGATGGGTGACACTTTCCCCGACCAGTGGAAACACAGCTTGACCGTCCCAATCCCCAAACCGAACTCCACAGGGCACGAGGTGGACAAATTTAGACCCATTTCGTTGACTTGCTGTGCGTCTAAGCTGGTTGAAAGAATGTTAAACAGGAGATTGATCCTGTACCTGGAAGAAGGGAAACACCTGGACCACCAACAGCATGCTTTTAGACCAGGTCACGGGACCAGCACATACCTCGGCTCCCTCAGCGAAGCTTTATCGTCAATGTCCGCAAATAACCATCACGCTGAATTGGTTGCGCTTGACCTATCGAAGGCCTACAACCGGGCATGGATGCCAGGTGTTTTGGACCAGTTGATAGCCTGGGGTCTAAAAGGACACGTGTTGAAGTTCATCCAGAACTTCCTCTCGCACCGGACCTTCCAGGTTGTCCTGGGAAACTGCCGATCCAAGATTTTCGACGAGGAGACTGGCCTACCGCAAAAGGGTCGGTGATAGCGGTCACCCTCTTTCTCGTTAGGATGAATGGGGTATTCACGAGGTTGCCGGTCGAAATCTTCATTTTCGTGTATGCAAACGACATCGTCCTTATGGCAATTAAGGAGACTGTCAAAGCGCTTCGACGAAAAATTATTCAAGCCACGGCCTACATCTCGAATTGGGCATCAAACGCGGGATTCCAGATGTCCGCAGCAAAAAACGGGTACACTCATATTTGTCCGTCGAATCACCGGATCCTCAGCACGAAGATCAGCATCCAGGACGAGGTAATTCCATTCAGAAAAACCCTTCGGATACTTGGTGTGCATTTCGACCGCTCTCTTACATTCAACACGCACCTGAACGAGGTAAAGAGTGCCTGCAAACAGCGCCTAAACATCCTGAGGACACTAGCAGGCCGACATCCTAACGCCAACCGGACCTCACGCTTCAATGTTATGAAGGCTATAGTAAACTCGCGGCTGACCTATGGCATCGAGGCTACGTACCTTGCCAAACCGCGCCTGATGGAAAGGCTTACACCAGTCTACCAGCAAGCACTTCGAATTTCTTCCGGACTCCTTCCTGGTACCCCCGGGATCGCCGCCTGCATTGAGGGAGGAGTACTCCTCTTCGACCGCCTGATTACCGCTACTATATGCAATCACGCCATCGGGCTGAATGAGATAACGTCAGGTACAGATGAGGAAGGTTCCCTCCTAAAGAAGGCCAACAAGTTCCTCAGGGAAATCTCCAACCGAGCTCTCCTCCCAGTGTACAAGACACATTAGGTTGGAGCCAGAGGCTGGAACAAACCGCCAATCAAGACCGACCACACCATCAAACGACACTTCAAGGCTGGTTCCAATCCCTATATACGCCATCCGTTACTCGGACGGTTCCGTAGCCCAGAAAAGGGTGGACATCGGCATCTCCGGTGACCATCTAAAGGAGTGTCACAGGCTCCCGGATGAGTGCTCTATTTTTTCCGCCGAGGCAGCCGCAGCTTTTATCGCAGTTACTACCCCGGATACACGGCCAATCACGGCTCGCCGGAAGTATCCTGTTCATACGGAAGATAAAAGGGGACACCAGCAGATGGGAGGATCCACCCCTCCACCGTGAGCAGATCGTTTTATCGCGACTCCGGTCCGGCCACACAAACATCTCCCACAAGTATAAGGGGGACGGACCCTTCCGGAGGATATGCGACCACTGCCACATCCCACAGACCGTCGAGCACTTCATCTGCATATGCCCGAAACACGACGGAACCAGGCGAAGCTACGACATTTCCGGCAACATCCGGGATGTCCTCTCCGATGATCCCGTTCAGATTGCTACGCTGTTCATCTTCCTGAACGAAACCGGACTCTTCAATATGATTTAAATTACTCGACCGCAACCCTCAATGACTAGGTCCAACTACCGGCATACACCACGATACGTTTCAACCCTGAACCCTGATGACAACTTACCGCAATCCAATTGGAAATCCAACTGAATTAACGCAGATGTACCACGCCAGTTCTTATTTTAATATGTCCTTTATGTACTGATTTGTGTCTTATGTTAATGGAGTTAATGGTTATACAAACACTGTAGCAGCTCTTACAAACCTTTTGGAACTCCCTTCTGGAGTTCCCAAGGCAAACCAGCCAATGGCTGAAAGCCTTGTAAATAATTGAAAAAAAAAGTTATTGGTAAGATATGCGCTATAACATATTAGTTGCTCATTCTACTATTAAATCATAAATTGCTATTGTTATGATATTTGAGTATTATA